GGGGGGTCTATTGTATTTATATTTAGTCCTAATATCAGCCACCAAGTTAGTCTTTCGTGGTCTGACATTGTTAAAGCTCAAATTAATCTATTACTGTTTAATAATCTCAAAAATAGTAGATAACACGGATATATTGATATTAATTCTAATCTGACCATGTAATTAGTTAAATATTTTACCGGTATATAAATTTAAATTTCGAGATCAATTAAGTAAAGAAATTGAATAATATATTTGGAAAAAAATTATAAATAAAGTAATTTGTATTGTAAAAGTAATAGGATTCATTTCATTTTAAGAACTATTCGTTACTTATAACAACACTTATCTCATAATTTATTAATTAAAGCGTTAATCAGACATTGAATATAATTGTTATACTCATGAATTTATTTGTAATGATTATCGTTTAATATGTGAATTTAGTATTTCATCATATAAAATAAGATTATAATTCCCGATAAAATTATAGTTTTTACATTCGATAGAGACAAAGTTATTGCTGAATTCTCGATAACTTCCATCAAACAGTCTTTAACGAAGAGAGCCTAAATGAAATAATAATAATATATTAGTTTTTGTTAATATAATTTGTTATTATTTTGGAATTTTGAAAATTACTTTAATTTTACTTGTTTTAAATTATACGTAAATCATTTACAATTGAGTAAAGAAACTATTTGTTACCTCATAGAGTGAAAAACCAGCATAGCGAAACATATGCAAATGTGCTATACACGATCTGTTTTGAAATGGAATATCTCCAAGCTTAAAAAAGCATAATTAATATAATAAGATATATTTTACATAAGGAAAATGTTAAATGAACATAAAATTTGATAAAATTTAAATTTAAAACATTTTTTAAAATATGTAAAAGTTGCTTATATATTATATATTAAAATTTGAAAAAAATAATGAATTTAAAATCTTAATCGATATGTTTAGTATAATAATTAGTAAATGGTAAAAAAGTTAATCTAAAGTTATTTTGCTAAAATCGTATTTTTATCATGTTTTAAATATGAAATTTCTACGTGTCTAGGCAGTCTTAAACCAACTGAAACGAAGTCTATGGGTTCTTGACTTAGGATTATAATCTGCGAGGAGGCGAAAAAATTCCAAAATCAAGATTTTTGCGCCCAATTTTGTAACAGACCTAACTGCAGTTCTTATAGTAAACACTCTAGATGTAGTGTAAATCTTATAGGAGTATATTTTTTGTTTAATTGTTTGTTTTACGTTATGCAATTGGGTGATGCATATCCTAAGACTGATCCCGATATTATCAACAATAAGTAAATAAAATACTGTACTGTATTCAATAAAAGAATATTATATGATGATTGATTGATTAATTTTGGAGGATAATTTAAAACTAAGGTCTAAAATTGTTATTGTACCAATTCGACAGGAGTTAAGAGAAAAACATACTTGAGTCTTTCTCATTCGAAAATTTTAATTTAAATGTAATTGGAGAATCTTTAATTGAAGAACGAAATGTGGAACTGCTACATAACTTAGCATTCTACAAAAAAGTTTTACGAAGGGGAAAAAGAGACAGATACTGATAATTATCCTACCAAAACAAATTCGTCAATGGAAAGAAAAAAACCTTATATACGGTATAACGATTTCTTATTCGAGTAATATATACTGCATAGTTCTGTGCAAGTTAATGTAAAAAAGTGATACGTTGTATATTAAGTCTATGTTTTTCATTAATAAATTTCGAGAAAATAAATATTGCATTTTTACTTTTTTCCATTAAATTGCTCAACAGTTTACATATAACGATTACTTGTACGTAGCAACCTTCGATAAGTTACGATACATACATTCATTGACAAAACGTAACGCTCACAGACAGATTTCTCCGATAATTGTAACACTTGGTAGTGTTAGACACGTATGCAAATAATTAGTTGCGGTGTATTGCACAAAAGATATTGCCACCAGAGATTCATGAAATCGCTACCCAGTATTTTATATAACGACTCACAGAAATTCACTTGAAATAATGTTTAAACCGGTACTAATTGGTACCGAACGAACAAGAGAAACATTCTGTAGGTTTGCAAATTAAAGTATTTTAATCAGAGTTCATATTTAGTTTGCAAGAACAAGAACAGACTTTAAGTTATAGTGTTATTCCGGATGCCAACATGATTCTTCCAATTTTGTTAGATCCTAAATGCATATAAATAAAATATCTGAGTAATTTTTGAACTCGGGTAAACGTCGGATTCGAAGGACATTTCGGTTTATTCATCAAGAAAACCGCTTTTAAGTGGTTATAAAAGTGAATAATTATATTTTAGTTTCATATTAAATTCTAATTGCTCTGAAACTAACTTTAGTAGAATTAATAGTATCAGTGGGAACGAAACATTATTATCAACTATGACACCAATTCTATAATTAGTTAATAATTTAAGAGAGTTTACTTATTTCTCATCGTTTGTACAAGTCTTTAATCAAGAATATACGATTACTTTAGCCAGTCTCTTAACTATAAAATAAGGGAATTAGAGTAACTGAATCATCTTCAAACATCTTGTAAAAAATTGTACGTATGAAAACAAATTCAATAATAATAAATCAGATAATATAGAAAGTTAAAATTTAATTGAACGTATAATTCTATTTGTAATTCAATTGACTTCATTTCTGCTATAAGAAACATTCTAATTCGCCTTGTGTAATTGTAATTTTAATCTTCCTTAGGTCACCTATTGTACCTAACCCAAGGTTAAGGTTTAAAAATTATACTTTAGAAGTTATCTAGTATCAAAAACGTTCGATTCAGCATGACACACAGTCCTCAAAAAAACACCACACAAAAGTGACAGTGCTGCCAGCAGTACTTAATGATCAAGTACCTAAACACAGTAGTACTTAATGATCAAGTACCTATAATATGTGATATAAAAGAAGTTAGGAAAATTTGCTCTCAGTCAGAAGTACATATGAAATTCAACTTGCAAATTGTAGTTTATATTACTGGCGCATTTATGCATAATGAATACTTGTATTTTAACATACATGTAGCAATTCATATGTTTGGCATTTTTACGTACAGCACATATATATGAGTGTATATTTAGTGAAAATTCAAACGCATGTATATCCGACTCACATTAATCATATTTATTACAGCTTAGAAGCCTTAGATAAACGAAAAAATGACCTAATCAGTCATTTCATCGTTTCTTCCCAACTAAGCTGCAAACATCTTCATTACTTATTGCCAGAGAAGAAAGTCAGACGGACAATCGAATCAAGTCTGCAGTCCTGAAAGTTTTCGAGACTTCCAGGACTGCAGACTTTCCAGGACCTTATTTTCATAGATTACTATACTGAATTCAGCTGAAAAATTGACAATCTGAAATAAAATTTTTAAAATGGGAGAGATTCTGGATACATTGGTTCACCTCTCATCTTTCGGTGGAATGACAGCCTTCAAGAAAATTAAGACAATGGGTTTTTTAGACCATAGTGCTGTTATTTTCAAAAAACAAAAGGCATCACCATATAATAATATTTTATTAAATACAATATTTTACAGGATACTTTTTCATGATAACTTCTATATATAAAACGTTAGCGCAAAAAATTCAATACAACCAATTGTAGAAGGATTCAAATTTGATTTTTTTCTATTTACTAAATTATATTTATATTATATTTGAAAATATATCAAAGATAATTCAGAAGCGTAAAATTTTGCTTTTAATCATTAAATATGTCTGATATAAGAATAATGAAAGGCTGAATAATTATGTTGCATGAAAAAATTCTTTTAATACAAACATTTTCTAGTAACATTAAATTATTAATTAGGTATTAGCTGTAACGATTGTTACATTATAACTATTAAATCTATAATATAATCGAGACGGGTTGATAATAATAATAATAATAAGTGCAGAGCCCAAACGGTTAGGAGTTGGAAGCTGAAATTTGGTACACAGTTAGGGTACGTCACGAAAACGCACACTAAGAAGGGATTTTTCGAAATTCCTCCCGGGGGGGAGAAAGACAGGATTAAGGCTTAACACTTCCATCAACAATGGAAGTGTTAAGTAACAATGGCGGTGTTAGGTAACAATGGAAGTGCTAAGTAACAATGGAAGTGTTAAGTAACAATGGAAGTTTTAAGTAACAATAAAAGTTTTAAGTAACAATGGAAGTGTCAACAATGGAAATCTTACGTAACAATGGAATTGTTAAGAGAAAGCGACGTGCGATACGCAGATGCAGTTTTTTCGTTTTTGCGGGAAATCGAACATATTTTTAGACCCATCTAAAAATTCTCTAAGGGGACAGAATTCTTGCATTCTGTGAAAACGGGTAAGGTTGACTGTAACGTAATAATCTTTATCTTAGTTATCGTTACTTTTGCCCGAGCAACGCCGGGCCCACCTGCTAGTATACTTATAATTTTAATAAATTAGCTTATTAACTCGCAATACAATATAACTTACCTTCTGATTAAGATGTTCACATGAAATGTTAAGTAAGTGAAAATAACGTGACTCGTAAGGAAAATTAGGGCATTCACGAATCGTTAATGAATGAAACTATAGGCATTGAATAAAAAATTGAATATTGAAATTAATTCGCTTTGATTAAATTCTTATAACTATAATTAATGGCAATACATACACACCTCTTCAGATAATATCAGAGCTACTTTCTTTTTAACACAATGTAAATAAATTTTTTTATCTTCATTCGACAATTCTTGAAGTTCAAAAGTTGAAAAGTATATAAATTTATACAAATTATATTAGCTATAAGATATACGCACAATTTTTTATAAAATTTTATCATAAAATAATTGGTTTTAATAATTGCTATGTCATATAATATTTTCTTATGAATTTACAGTCGACTCCCCTATAACACGGTAGATACGTTCCGGTTTTTATGAAATCCATTTTCTACGAGTCTTAAATACATGAGCCAATCACAGTCCAGCATGTATGCAGTTTACGGACTACGGCTTTTGAAAAGTTATCTTCCATAAAATTAATCGATTCTAGACTAATTCGACTCAACATTTCCAAAATACGTATAATTTTTTGGGAATAATCCATATAAACTATGCTATNAGGTTTTCTTCCATAAAATTAATCGATTCTAGACTAATTCGACTCAACATTTCCAAAATACGTATAATTTTTTGGGAATAATCCATATAAACTATGCTATAAACAAAAAATTGTAGGGTTAGTTACCGAGTTTGCACCGTTCGAAGACGCCATTGCTCAAGCTTGTTTTCGTCGCGGAGCGGTGCATCGAATGACGCTCGCGTGCTTCATGATAAATTATTTTTCTGCGAAAACTTTGCTGAACTTTGGAGACATCATTAATATAAATACAGTATAATTTTTATGGACGTTAAATAATAAATGGTTTTCAGTAGATCCGCTGCTCGTTTAAACTCAACGGTTTGTGCAATATCCGCTATTGGTCTAGATTCGACCACTCCTGTCGCGATACGAGTCAGTGATGACGTTTTACTGAATTATACGAGTCTCTTTTAGCGTGTTTATAGGAATACGGTCGTAATTTTTTCGCCGTCATATAGGAATCCGAACTATATGAACTCGTTTTATAGGGGGGGTCTACTGTACTTCACGTATTTAACCCAACAATTTTCCAAAAATACGATATATTATGTACTGTACTATATCGAAATATTGTTCAGCTAGAGACTATTCAAATATTTAGAGTAATAATCTAAATTGTATTATAAGTTTTTGTGAATTCTGTAAAAGATTTATATAAACAAACAATGTTATTTGTCATTTTTCTGCTATTCTGATAATATTGAACTTCTTTTCATATCCTTCGTATCGATTTTTTCTGTATTGCATAGAACATCTTACACAAGAAATATATTTTTTTAGAAAACTCACATCATGACTGATTCAAAAATATATAATAAATATTATTATGAATATGTTAAAACCAATTTTTTAACATTGAAAGTACAGTGGAGCCTCGCTTAACGAGCATCTCGCATAACGAGTGACGAGGAGAGGGGAAGTCCTGGATTGTGTTCAAGTTCCATCAGTCTGTGTTTAGCACTCGTTCTGCTAGCATCTTAGTGCCGCTTGTGCTTATACATTTTTTCAAACTTGTATTCACACATATAACGTATAGACATCAACAAACATAGCCCGTTATATAATAAGCACGCCAAACGATATTCCAAATTCTTGGGTTATGTAAAAGCTATAATTAAATATAAAAATTAATTAATTTGACTAGAGGTAGGCAGCTGTGCTTTCATCTCGTGTTAAATTTAATGACCAATTCCAAATTAAATTTTAGAAATGTCTATATTAAAAGTTAATTATTTTAAATCTTCTGAAACCGTGTTGTTTTATTTCTTTGATTCACTAACACAGAGTGTGTTTCTATTTCAACACCTAATTTATAATATTTAATTATAGCTTTTACATAGCCCAAACATTTGGCTTATCGTTTGGCGTGTTTATCATACATATATCATCTGTAATTTTTTTTGTTTTGTTTTCTGCAAATCGAATTCGCATTCGAGGTTGGTTCATTGAAAGATAATGATTCACACTTCTTAATGATGTATATTGTATAATTTTCTTTGAATAAACGTTATACACGAAATATTTCTGTATTTTTTCGGTTTGAAACGCATTATCTTATTTTACATTAATTTATATGAGAAAAATTGTTTCGCTTAACGAGTGTTTAGCATTATGAGTAAGATTCTGGAACGAATTATGCTCGTTAAGCGAGTTTCCACTGTATAAGTATTATACATATATTAATGTTTAAAATCGTATTATAAACCATACTAATACAGTCCACATAGTTTCGGCATAAGCATAATATTATATATGTTAAGCCAAATTAGAGAATGTTGCTCATTTCGTATATTGAACAAAAGTTTTCGTAATACTTGAAATCGACAATTGATATTATGTTTTCAGGAATCTGTCAATATTCCTGCCAAATTGACAAAATTGACAATCGCGAGAAATGAAATTAGCTCAGCATTCATATATATAAATGATGTTTGTTTATTTGTTCGTTCGTTATGCACTCCTATGCCGTTCAACCAATTAATATGAAACTTAAAATTATGTTACATATACATCTAACTTAGATAATGTCATGCATAATGCTGATTTGATTTTTATATATATCAATAAATTTCTGTCTATATTCGGCATGTCGGCTTTATCTGTAGCATTATCTATCGGCAAAAGTTTTTTTAAGATATTAAATTATATATAATTTTTAAAAATAAATATTATATCTACTTAATTAATTACTGCGACAATAATGTATCGCAAAATAGATACGCTACATTATTACTGCATGAGTATCACATAACACTCACCTGTGTTCAGTCAAAAGTTTACACTGAAAACTATATAGCTTAAATATTTGGTTTTCCAGATCTATCAACTCAAAATATTTTATTTCTGAATGGGACATTCTTAATTCTAATTATTTTTCTATAAACTCGCTATTTATTAGACATACTTCCCAGATAGTTTATAGTCATTTTGATAATGTTTTTAAAATGAGTTTTACTACATACGTTTTTACGATTAATAACACCGGTTATAACAAGCTAGTTAGTAGGCTAAATATAGCGACTTAAGTATTTTGGAGAGCTTTCATTTTGTTTCTCTTTCGTCTATCGATGCTCTGGAATTTCTAATACAGTCAAACCTCGGTTTTCGAACGACTCATTTTTCGAACAAATCGATTCACGAACAGAATTTGGAACTCATATTTGCCGTACGATAACTCGGTTTCTGAACAAGCTACTAGGCACGATTAGAGAGCGACACAGACAATTAACTCCCTATATTTCTTACGTTAAAGAAAGTCAACGGTCTGACCAATCAGCGACAGGACTACTAGTTTAGTTGTTAGTGGCGCCGAGATCGCCTCGCGTCATTAGACGTCACGACACGAATCATTGATGACGTTACTATTTAAATTACATTTCAATGGGCATGCGAGAAACATACTACTTCAGTTTTTCGGTACAGGCCGCAGTTGACTTTAAATCAAATTAATAAAAATCGCGTTAATTAACATTCACATAATATAAATGGCATCCAAGAGTTTGTGTTTAAAGGTGCTTATGTCAAATTAAATAACAAAAATTTATATATAATATTATTACATTGCATTTGTAGGGACTTTAATACGTAAAATACAGTTTAAAAAGTAAAAAAACAAAGCTTTATTTTGGGGATAAGAAACAGATTAATTCGTTTTATATTGGTTTTTATGGAAAAATTTGTTTCGGTTTCAGAACAACTTTTAGGAACGAATTATGTTCGAAAACAAAGGTTCGACTGTATTTAAGATTTTGCTGCGTTTACTTTATATATGTGTGAGCTGTAATGATCAATTAGCATTTAATGTAATCTGTACATAATAGACATCATGAGCAAGTAAAAAATATCGTTAATTCTTTAAGTAATAAGACAATACTAAAATAAATGTTTTCCTAAGCGTTTTACAAGTCATAATTCAATAAGCGAAACAAAAGTTGATATATTATTGAAAAAAATAATAATTTCGCGAAATAGACAATTCAAAATTAGTCTATTACATAAAACAAGTAAAACGGCAAAACCGTATTTGGGACAAGACTATGTATCGGAGATTCACTACTAAGCGGAATCACTTTGACGCTCAAGGCGGGTCTCGTTCTTATTCTCCAATCTTCTTTGGTATCGCTGCTTTTGGGAGCGATCGTTCAAACTTCGCCAGCCACGACCACGAGATCGTCCACGATGCATTTTCGATGAAATTCACCTACCCAATTTCGAAATTTCTCTCCGTTGCGTGTCGGCCCGGGTTCAATTTTTGTCGATGCGTAACGAAAATTTCCCGTTTTTGAAAAAAATAATCGTGGCTATTGTATCGTCCGAAATTATTTTTTTATTTTGCACAAACAATATACAGTTTAACCCGATTATAACGTCATCGGATCTAACAACAACCCAAATATAACGTCAAACTTTTATCGGTCCCACGATTTTACTATACAGGTATACCTCGACTTACGTCGTTCCCGATTATACGTCGCTTGTTAAAAAAGTATATGGAAAAATAAAAATCAAGTTTAAGTCATTTTATTCGACTTTTCGTCTGTCCGCCACAAATATTGAAATAATATCACTAGAAAAGCGTTTAAAGCACATAAAATCATATTAAAATATATACATTTACAAGTATGTACTGTATTTACAGTACATACATTCGTAAATTTACATTATTTTTTTTGTACTATATTAAAAACTAAAATTTATTTGTTTGTAAGCTTAAAATAGATTTTTATTAACCATATATTATTAAAAATGCATTAATAAATAAAATACAGAACCGGGAATGGTAATTTATGGTTTAGCCTAGTGACAAGTAGATACGGATACAAGTAAATTCGACTTACGTCGCCTCTCCTGGAACCAATTACCGACGTAAGGCGAGGTATACCTGTACTAGATAATGATAAAAACCAACTTCTAACGACATAAAACCGTTTTAACGTCATATTTGAAGCACTCCCAAATTTACAAAATTAGATTACAAATTTTATTTAACATAGAAGAAACTACGTGTTCAATCCTAAGGTTCAGTTCAGTCAGAGTTCACTTCTTAGAATGACTGTGGGTGGTACTCTCCCCCACCTGATTTCGGTGGGGTGAGGTGGCTGTTTTGCCTGTTTCTAGAAGAGGGTCGCCATTTTGTATTTTGATTTGACTCGGTTCTCGGTCTCCTGATTACCTACAAGTTTGGATTCTTTTATGCGCAAATGATCTGGACATCTAATACTCTGTGCAAAATATCAACTCTCCATATGTAATCCTTCATGCCTCTATGCTGGTAACATAAAACGGCAGTACGATTTTATAAACGAGACATAGTCTTGTCAATTAGTCACATTCTTGGATTTACGTAAGATGTATAGACTATAAAGTAATGGTACTGCACCACTAATCTTTGAAAATCACTCTTTTTACTTTTCCGGCTCTGTTATACAGTATATAATAGAGGAAAAGTATAGCTATCGGTCAAAGACTTTACATTTTTGGACTCAGGAAACCATGAGAAATGGAAAAACAAATTCGGACAGTTTTTCTGTATGTATGGATTTTAATGTTAGTGTGTATGAGAGGCACGAGTTTTTTCACTTTCTTTCAAACTTAATAACTCTTTTTGCAAAAAATTTCTGAAATTTTGCAAGAAGGTGTGTGTATTAGGGGCATTGATGCTATTAAATTTGGTGGTTAAAAGTCAAGGGGATACGGCGATAACGGGGACGTGTGTCAAATCTTAAGTAGGGTTGGACTTAATGACCATTTTATTCGTTATTAGCATTTACAATTTTTTTATAAAATTCATCCCTACTCTGAAAATTAAACTATTTGCCATTTTATAATAATTAAAAGTATAAAAACTTTTAAAATAAAATATCATAACAGATGGCGCAATGCGCAGTTTTAACTATTGTATTGTCGGGTAAAGTTAACCAACGCGTTACTGGATTTTTTAACTTCATTTAAACAATATTATTTTAGATATAAGTGTATAACAGAATGGTGAAAAGGAACGTTGTAATGTTATGAATGTCCAAACGTATGACCGAATGGATAAAAATCATTAAACATTGGTAATTGGTTCAACGAGCTTGCCATGTGGAGTTTTCTTTCACTAATATCCGAATGTTAGATTGTTTTCTATAAAAATATTTTTCAAGGAAGCACACTTCTTCGAAGATCGGCCACGTGTTTCTTAGTCTATCAATCCCAATTCACTTAATATGATCTATAATTACAATTTGCTGTAGTTCTAAACAACTTTACACGGAACTGCAGTCATTAGCTATCTGATTATTAAGAACAGAATACAAGCGCATCAGGACGAAAAATGATCCTTTATTTCCGTTAACTTAGAGTTAAAATTAAAATTATGTAATGAAGGAAATGGAGCGTTATAAATTAAATACAGTAATACTCCGATTTACGCGAACCCGGAGTTACGCGATTTTCAAATTTCGTCGATTCTTCTTTTGTTTGAGCGCCACGCAACCCTTGATTACTCACTCCCCCCACACTATTGTTCAGCTTACATGTTCGGATATGTCGCGCGGAATCCACACATAGCTACAATTTATTTTGTGTTTGTTATATCTACGGAGATTCGAGAGACTCTACTATGTCATCCAAACGAAGTAGAACTATTTCTTCTGCATCAAACAAGAAAAGAGAAACTTTATCTTTGGAATGTAAAGTTAACATTGGGTATGTTCGTAAAGTCGAACGAGTTAAGCGAGAATGAAGTCTTCGTTATTCCTATTTCGTTAGACTTTTCGAACGATTCGTTACTAACGCGTTTAACTCGTTTGACTTGAACGTACTCGTTGAACGTACCCATTATTAAAAACTTCGATACAAAAATGAAAATTTGTGAATTGGCAAAGAAGTTTGATCTACCGGAATTGTCGGTCAGAACAATTATAAAAGGCAAAGAAAAAATTTCGAAGCTGTGAATAATGCTCAATCTTTAAATTCAAGCATCATTCGTAAACGTCACAGTATTATCGCTGAGATGGAAACAATGTTAAAATTATGGCGTAATAATCAAGTAAATGTGAAAAATTGTAAAATAATATAGGCCTAATTTATTATACATATGTATTATTTAAGATTTTATTAAACATTTTTTTCTAAATTATTGTTTTCTTTAGTCTCCGGCCCCAATTAAAAATTATTTGTATGTATTTATATGCGAAATTATACCCCGACTTACGCGAATTCGACTTACGCGGTTACCGCTCGGTCCCACCTATCGCGTAAGTTCGGGGTATTACTGTATTCAAAATAGTTCATATTTGAAGATAATTTCATCCCTATGGAAAATGCTTTTAAAAAGTTCAAAGTAAAGAACAGAAATTAATCTGTTACTTATTTAAATTTTATTATATCTAATAATTTTAGTTGTGAAGAATCTTCAAAAGCTGTGGATAAAAACCATAAAATGCTGTTAGGATGCCTTCATACATTCTGTATTTGCCGAATGAACAGCAAACGCTTCACGAATACTGAGTAGTTCGGATGATTTACTATTGAAAATATTTGATATTTGTCACTTTCCACTCTTTATCGGTAAATTGTGCCAAAAGGGACAAAATTTTCCTTCACGCATTTGTTCTTTTTGCTCATTATTTTGAAATTGAGATGGTCTGATGAAACGTTAATCGAGGTGAAAAATTTACTATAGCTGGATGAAAGAGAAAAATAAACGTTAATGTCATTGCTTCGAGCGTGTTATAAGAAAGTAAAGCGAAGTGTTAAAAGGAGAGAGGGATAGACAAAATATATATGCCAAATTGGCTTGCTTATTTTTCATTAACTCATAACTACAAAAGGAGTGGCGCAAATTGTTGTTAGAATTTATCTATTTTCTAGATTTCGGATAAACATTCGTCATTTTCATAACAAACCTATGCTCGACACGTGTAGCTCGACATGTGAGAAACACTTCGGTCAGTACTTTGACGAAAGACCAATTATTCGGCATTCTGCGAACAATCGCTTTTCTCCGATTGTGTGGAAGTGCTCTTAGTTGGATTCAGGTTCGGGTAACAAACAAACAGGCTAGCCACGCAAAGTTTTCTGAATTTACTTTACGTGTGTAAACCTCAAAATATTGACCAATTTTCCATAGAAAACTTATTCCGAGAAGCATCCCTCCCGCAGATCTGTCTCGTTTGTGTTTCTTATTGCATAATTAACGTATGAAGTACGCTAATGCAGCTTTAAAATACGCCTGAAATTCTTACTAAATTTTTTATAAACTTATTAATAAAACATATCTTACATAACAGAAAACAATTCCAAAATAAAAGATTACTACATATTTAAATATCTAAACACAATATCACCAGATAATTCTGGTAAATAACGAGTAAATTTTGTTTTTCAGAAACTATATAAGTCTATATATAATATTTATTCAAAATTATATTTATGAATCGTCTGCTAATTTCAGTACTAACTTATGTCATTATTTCCTCAACTTCTGTAATATGTAATCTAAATATTTGCAACATATACGAAAGGAAAAATTTGTTATTTAAAATATCTTCACTGTTAAATAAATTAATAACAAGTTCAACTGCATTTTAAATAAATCAAAAAATATCTTACGGCATATATTCTCTGATATTTTTTTGAATTCTTCAACTGAACCAGCTATTGTAGAGATAAACATCCTTAATAGGAAAACAAATAAGACTGTCTTCGTAGTATATTTCCTATAGATAAATATAAAAAATAATTAGAAATGTAATATATATATATATAGTATATAATATGAAAAAACTTCGTCATGTTAATAAAGATACTTTTTTTCTTTACAGATTTACAAAAATTAATTACAAGTCGAAGATAATAATCTTAATCTGCGACTGAAAATAAAAGAAATATATTGATAGAATACTAGTAGAACGCTCTGGCAAAAAGTAACGATAGCGAAGATTAAGATTATTAAATTATAGCCAATCTTACCCGTTTTGACCGGGTGCAAGAATTAGATCACTTCCTCTTCCGAGACTAATTAGAAAATTTTTAGATAAATCTAAAAATATGTTCGATTTCTCGCAAAATTGCAATATATCGCATCTAAAATAGTACAGTAAAATTCGAATTTAGGGTAATTCTTAACCCCTCCCTCTCCTCTGCGAAGGGGATTTCTAGAAATTCCTACTTAGTATGAATTCTCATGACGTTTCCTAACTGTGCATCAAATTTTAACTTTGAAATCCAACCCGTTGGGCTCTACACTTATTATTGTTATTATCATCAATATCAACCCATCTCGATTATATATATAGATAAATGATTTTCATACTGTTTTCTTAAATTTGTTTATTCGTTTTACTTTATTAAATGAAATATGACTGCCTTAACATTCCTTACTGTGAACCTAGATTAAACATGAATAATGATTATAGATATAGTTTACTGCAAAAAAAACTAACGAAAATCGACATCTAAGTAAGAAGAAACTTTTCTACCAAGACTTCGTCATTATATCTTTTCGTTAGAATTTTTTTTTTTTTTTATACTCTTTCCGCCCGTAGCTAGAAAGACGGCCTTTTCATCAATCTCATTGTGGTTCTTTCAAGTCCATCATGGAGCAACTGGGTGGTGAAGGATTGACCATTCCCTGGAAACTTCCTAGAGTTTTCAATCGGATTTGTTTCCGGAGTTTCATAGCTGTAGACTGTCCATGAAAATGGTCATTTTTAGTAGATATTTGTAGTTAAAATAGTAGTTTTTTTTTTCGATTCCCAAGATGAATGAAATCACTTCGAAACTATTTTCTAAGAATTCTAAACATAGAGATATTTAAGGTTGACTGTTATGCAGCAGACTTCAAAGGTTGGTGTTAAAAATTTAATGGTTTTTCTATGGGAATATCTTTTTCCATAAATTGTCGAAAGTGGAATTAGATACAACTAAACACTTTTTCTCTTTATAATCCTATTTAAATTTTCTATTAACTACGGTTCAAAATTTTCAAAATAGAATTCGTTCACTTTATACAACTTTTAAAATCGTAGAAAATTCATCAAATAGTACAAATTGTCACATATTACTTAGATGAATATGAGCTATTGTGATAACATGAAAAAAGAAAGTTTTTCAATTCTATTCGAGGAAAAAGTAAATTGGAGTAATAGTTTAAAGCAACGTAAATCATTGGTGTATGCCAAGAGAGGGGTTCTTTCTATAAACGTAGAAGAAATGGTTTTATGTTATATGAGGCTATGGTTTCTATCGAGATGCCACGTTTCTAACTTTAGCAATGTGCACAATATTAACATTTTCGGGCTTTATTGTGACTCGCAACTTTTTACCTTTTTGAAATTTTTATTTACCTTAGTTTCGTGAAGATCGTCTTTGGATTTATTATGAGAATCGCATTTTCATTAAAATAATTTTAGCTTTCTGTAAATGGAGCGTTATTGAATAAAGTGTAAGGAGCGCCACAGAAAATAGGAATTTCACAAAAACCCAGGATTGCTTACATTTTAAATATCAAAGGCCACAAAAAAGTTTCAGTCTTTTAAAATTATTTTTTATTTCAGTCACGGACTGATAGCAAGCAATTTAAACATGTAAAAATAAATCTATATTAGAAAGGGACCGATGATACATCATTAAAATCAATACATACGTACAAACAGTATATAGAATCAAACCTTCTACTGTAGGATCATGTCTACTAAACACATTAAAACACTGCTAAAGGTCTTGAAATTAGTGATCTGATGTAAAAGTCGTACTTGTAAATAATGTTACATTTGATGATTAATGTTAAATTAGCCGATTTCATCCTCCGGTAGAAATCGGCTAATTACATATAACTGCATTGTTTTGAATTTTAATTTAGTTGACATCTGTGTTTAAGAGTAAAAAAAGTGTATGTATCTAGTTAATTTTTTACAAGCAATTAATCCTAAATTTTCTATTTCTCTCCACCCTACCTAATCTTATTGAGAATTTACGAATATTATTTATAATACTTTCTTTGAGAATGAGAAATAATATAATATCTTTTACTACATTTTTTTCTAATCTTTTAACTTCTTAATTGTAATAAGAACGTGGGAGTGATAGAAAATGCCAAATTTCAATGACTTTCACAGCAGAAAATAATGTTTTCTATTACTAACAAATAGGTACCAAAATATTGTTATTAGGTCTATTTTCTTAAATGAATATAAATTATCGAAAGGTAAAATATTCAATAATATAATGTAATCTCAAATAACTGCAACCTCTAAACGACGACCATTCTTCAGGAACGTTTCGTTTTGTAACGCATATAACATACTTCCAATTACTTGATACCTCCGAACAATGATCATTTGTTAAATTTTATTATATCTAATAATTTTAGTTGTGAAGAATCTTCAAAAGCTGTGGATAAAAACCATAAAATGCTGTTAGGATGCCTTCATACATTCTGTATTTGCCGAATGAACAGCAAACGCTTCACGAATACTGAGTAGTTCGGATGATTTACTATTGAAAATATTTGATATTTGTCACTTTCCACTCTTTATCGGTAAATTGTGCCAAAAGGGACAAAATTTTCCTTCACGCATTTGTTCTTTTTGCTCATTATTTTGAAATTGAGATGGTCTGATGAAACGTTAATCGAGGTGAAAAATTTACTATAGCTGGATGAAAGAGAAAAATAAACGTTAATGTCATTGCTTCGAGCGTGTTATAAGAAAGTAAAGCGAAGTGTTAAAAGGAGAGAGGGATAGACAAAATATATATGCCAAATTGGCTTGCTTATTTTTCATTAACTCATAACTACAAAAGGAGTGGCGCAAATTGTTGTTAGAATTTATCTATTTTCTAGATTTCGGATAAACATTCGTCATTTTCATAACAAACCTATGCTCGACACGTGTAGCTCGACATGTGAGAAACACTTCGGTCAGTACTTTGACGAAAGACCAATTATTCGGCATTCTGCGAACAATCGCTTTTCTCCGATTGTGTGGAAGTGCTCTTAGTTGGATTCAGGTTCGGGTAACAAACAAACAGGCTAGCCACGCAAAGTTTTCTGAATTTACTTTACGTGTGTAACCTCAAAATATTGACCAATTTTCCATAGAAAACTTATTCCGAGAAGCATCCCTCCCGCAGATCTGTCTCGTTTGTGTTTCTTATTGCATAATTAACGTATGAAGTACGCTAATGCAGCTTTAAAATACGCCTGAAATTCTTACTAAATTTTTTATAAACTTATTAATAAAACATATCTTACATAACAGAAANTTTTTGTTCGGCAATTTTTTCCCGCAAAGTTGTTAATTACTATATCATAAAAATCGCTCATCGTCGATTTCATCAAAGTATTTAAAAGCTCTTTTTCTATCGAAAGCAACGCTAGTGACGACAATCTTTTCTCCGACTGAGTGTTCCTTGCCAATGTACGAATTCGGTTCATGATTGAAAAACTACACTCAATAGACCTATTCGTAGATGGTACCGTAAAAATTAATGATAGTTAATTATATAATTCTTTTAATATATCTTTATTCGGTTCGTCGTTAATTATAATATATTTTTATATCTAAGAGTGACTTGCAATATAGTCTGGACATGAATATAAATATTGCAATTCACTATATAATTTAGATAAATCAAAAAAATTCTCCATAAAATTTACTTAAAGAATTAAAACTCTCTTCGAAAAATTGTTTTTCATAATATTTAAAATTATTAACATCTAAAAATGATAAAAATTCTAAAGTTTTATGCCTGAAAAATCTGTCAATATAATTATAATTAAAAGAAAATTATAATTAAATATAGCTTTGTAAAGAAACGTACATAAAAATAACATAAAATATTCTTTACATTTTACAGTAATTTAGCTGCTTTACGCGATTCACATATTTTCGCCGAAGTTGTCCCATATTCGACAATACAACGCTTCCATTGGGAATATGCGTATACGAATTTATATTCGAATATACAATAGCAATCTTATCATTGTTTCTCACATATACGTTATAATAAATACATAATACGTTGTAATAAAATATTAATTTTAAGTAACTCAAAGTATGATAAATATGAAAACAATTGCACAATATGTATTTATATTTTAGAAAATACAAGGGACATGGACACACACGCCACTACTGTATTGATTTCTAACATTTTTATTATTAATAATTAAAATTATCATTTCGAACTTTAGAAAACAAATTAAAAGTTTTTCTTGCCTCCGAACTGGAAATACCTTGCATGGAAACGGGTGCACTGAATTCGAAAATGACCATGAAAATGCTTTGTTACGCTAGGTTTAGCTGATAGAGGTATATTTCATTATGTAGGGAAATAAAGTTTATGATTTAAAAGTTTTTCTCTAAATGCGTCGAGTCGATCATTCTATAAAATAGAAGACTACTTATAGTTTGTTTGACCTATGTTTGAAAATAACTTAATAAATTTTTACTCACGATAAAACGAGCTTGATGTTATCCTATTTGGGTGATAAGCGCGCATCCGTCTGACAAAAATTTCCTCCGTAAATTTAGCATCAAGAGTAGATCATACCCTGAAGATAGGCGAAAAGCCGCTTTTCAACTTTTTCACCTATGTCTCGAATTCTCTTTATAAATTTTAAGCCCTGTAAAAAGCCATTAGCTTCGGCTGATCATGGCCATGGGCCAGCATGCGAAAGACTGAAAAGTATTTCACGGAATGCTTTAAT